GGTTATCGCTATATTATCACATTCACCAACGACTTTAGTAGATATGGCTATGTCTACCTTATGTCGCACAAATCTAAATCTTTTGAGAAATTCAAAGAATTTCAGAGTGAAGTGGAAAACCAACTTGGCAAGAAAATTAAAGCAATTCGATCGGATCGAGGTGGCGAGTATTTAAACTACGAATTCGACGATCATCTGAAATAACATGGAATTCTCTCATAATTGACACCTCCCGGAACTCCACAATGGAATGGAGTGTCCGAGAGGAGAAATTTAACTCTGTTATACATGGTTCGATCAATGATGGGTCTTAGCGATCTTCCTATCTCTCTCTGGGGACACGCACTTCTTACCGCGACACTGATGTGTGACGTTTATGCCATCGTTTCACCCTATTTTATTAGAGATTTCCCCTAGAATTGTCACTTGCTTATGCCTTTTCTTACTCATTTTATCTCTATTTGAGTTACTTTAGCTTCCTCTCATGTTTTCCCTTCCCTTTTTGTCTTTTCTTTTACTTTCACTTCCTTTTTGTGTGTTTTGACAGTTCCTAGCGCTCGTAGGCGATTCTTGGATCATTTGTTGGAGTAGAGTTTCTAGGAATCTTGCTAGGGGAGTGTAAAAGGAATGGTCTCCTTCCAACAAGTGTATTATTCCGATAGAGGGTTCAGAATTATCGGAAAGCTAATTCTTCAGTAAGGTCAAGTGATCGGAATGTCTAGGTGGAAGCCGCTTCCGATCAGTAATATTAATGTACAATTAATATTACAGCTTAATCTTAACTGGACCCTTTGGGTCGAACCCAATCGAACAACCGATCCAAGACGACGAATCAATCCGAAGGATTTGATGAGTCGTCGGAGTATTACGAACAAAGACGTCGGATATCGAGCTTAGAGCGTCGAGATCAAGCGTCGCAAGTCGAGTCGAATTTGGAATTTGACGAGACGGGAAAAATCAACAAGTTCGAGCGTAGCCGTAGCATCACATTGGCCTAGCCAAGTGGACGTTAGGCTAGCTCAAGCTAGCGTGCACTAAGCGTGTGCTAGGCGCACCGTGCATGCTAGGCGCATCTTGCGTGCTAGGAGCACTGCACACCATCGCATAGCTAGGAGCTTGCGTGTGTGTGCATCGCTAGCTCTAGGCGCATGGCAGCACCATCGCAGCCCTGTACGTGTGCGTGCGTGCCATCGCAGCAGCATCCACTGTGCTTGCTTGCTTGCGTGCATGCCTTCGCATGGCAGCACCAAGCACCAAGCAGCGAGAAACCACTCTCACACAGCCACGCATCATAGCAAGCACGCTATGCGCTGTGGCTGTGCATGCTTGCGTGCTGGGCATCGCAGCATGTGCTATGGCCTAGCATGCTTGTATGCTGGGCAGTGCCTAGCACAAGCATCAGCTGCCAGGCAGCGCCTAGCATACTCTACACTGCAGCAGCAGCCCGCATTGCATGCGTGGCGTGCTGGCTGAGTGCATGCGCATGCGGGCTAGCTGGCCAGCCCAGCCAAGGTTCTAGGCGCCAGCTGGGCAGCCTCGGCAGCCATGGCAAGCTAGCTGCCAGCTATGCGTGGGTGACCTTGAGTGTTGGTGGAGACCAATGCTTGGTCATAGCCTTGGGGAGCAAGGTGGGATAGTACCCTCCATTAGTGGTCCTCACCTAACCTCTCCTCACCATGTGACACTTGTTGATTATCTATTGCTTGTCATTTTATGATTGAAATGCAAATTCTCCCACATTGGTGGGAGAATGGAAAATCAAGTAGCATTCCCTTATAAATACCCAAGTGTTGGGCATATGGGAATACACTTGAGTAGAACTCAATGAGGCATCTCCCTTAAGGTGAGAAAACCTCTAAGTTCGTAAAACTCCAGTTTTTATTGGTCGGGTCCCGACTAACCTTCGGGACTTGGACCGTTCGGGTCAGGTTCGTGGGTACGAGTCATTGGAGGCGTTCACACTTGTGACGCTCGAGCTTTCGAAGTAAGAGCTCGATTTGCGAGCGAAGCACGCATCAAAGGTATAATATTTTATCCTTTCTTATGCCTTTAATTATGTTTTGCTTGTTAATTGCTTTTATTATGGGGGCAGGTCTTGGTGGGTTTCTTTCCGCGTAGTGTGGGTCACTACGAAACCCAACAGAGTGGAGATGCCAGGAAGGAGAGGGCGCAGCAGCGAAGGGTCGCGGGCGCGGGGAAAATAGCCGCGGGCGCGGACAAGGCTCCAAGCGAGCTAACCAAACTTTCTGGAGATGCCCAGGAGATGGCTAGCCGCGGGCGCGGCATCAGTGGCCCGCGGGCGCGGCACTTTCATCCGCGGGCGCTACACTGCGGGTCTGGCGCAGCTCGTACCCAGCTCGGAGAGGGCGCGGCTGCTGGCTGGAAAGCCCTCTCTCTTGCCCATTTCTCCTTATTTTGAGAGAAGACTATAAATACCTCTTTGCTTGAATTTTCAAAGGGGACTATTCCATTAGCATCAAAAAAACATTTCTTAGAGAGAGAAAATCTAGGTCCTCTAGAGAGAGAAAAACACCTATTCTTCATGGTTTAATCTTTGTAATCAAATATTGAAGCTTTCCTATAGATTGTTGCTACTACTTTGATGATTTGGTAATCTTTCAACTTTATAATATCATTCTTTACTTTTGTTTATCTAGTTTTTTATTCTCTTGGTTTTATTGTTCTTACTTGAGTTTTCCTTCATAAATATTCAAGCTTTATTGGTTTCTTTGGTTTTCTTTTGGCTTAGAATCATGCTAGATTGTATTGTGATTAAATATTTGCTTAAGTTAGTTATTATGGCTATTCCCCTTCCTCTAGCTTAGATTATTAGCTAGGGAAGGGGGTGAATATCATGTGTATTTGAATATCTATTGATTATTGATAGGAGTTTACCTTGTGTTGATGATTGTGTGATGAAATATATTTGGAGTTAGTGTGTGCACCTCTAATCTCTAAACCCTAATCCTTGATTGAATGCATGAGAATGATTTAGTCTAGGTGAGATTAATTTCATCAACTTGCTTGAGTAGTTGCATGAGAATGAACTATCTTAGGTAGAGTTTTCTATTCCTTGGTTACGTTCCTCGTTGGTTTTCTTTAGTATTCATTTATCGTGATTGAAACCCCCTCTCCCTAGTGCTTTTGCCATTGTTATCTCTATAATCTAGTCCTTTTACTTGCATTTAAGAGTGTTTAATATATTCCCTTTGTTTTTAGTTTATTCTAGTCTCAATAGTAGATGGTTTGCCCATAGGATTCTTCAAACACAAATCTCAATACCTCTTTTTGTTACTAGCAATTTATCCTAGATATCGTATTATTTGTGCTAAACCCCCGTTTCCTTGGGAATCGAACTACCTTACCACTATCTAAAGTAAAATTGATAGAGTTAGGATAGGAGATATAAATTTTAATTTTGATCTAGGATAGTAAACTAACGACCTATTGTCCACCGATCAGACACTTACACTGAACCGCGCTCCGTCAAAAGCTGTCGAAAAGACTCCATATGAATTATGGACGAAGAAACCTCCGCGATTGTCTTTTCTTAAGATTTGGGATCGCAAAGCATATGTCAAAAGACTCATATCTGACAAATGTAAACAACTTCGAGCTTTCACCTTAACTCATTTGTATATTTTGATTTCGATCCGGAAGAGGTTTTTGGAACTAATGAAGAAGATAACATTGGAGAGAATCCTCCACAACCGTTGTTAAGGAACTATGACCACCCCAACGCATTCCAAATTTGGAGTGGCATACGTCTCCCCACCACAAATGCAAACAACTTCGAGCTTTTACCTCAACTCATTTGTATGATTCAAAGCGATCAATTCAGAGGTAGTCTTCATGAGTGTCCTTTTGCTCATTTGGACAACTTTCTTGAGTTGTGTACAACCATCAAGCAAAACAACATTTCGGAAGAGTTCATCTGTATGCACATGTTTCAATTCTCCCTCCGTGATAAAGCAAAGCATTGGTTGAGAACGGTTAAAGAGGGATCATTGAGTACATGGGACGAAGTCACTAGAGCCTTTCTTGGAAAGTATTGTCCTCCGGAAAAGAACGCCGAATTAAGAAGAAAGATCACCAATTTCAATAAAGACATTGATGAAACATCATGGATCATTGTACAAAGCTTTTATGATTGTCTTACACCTATTTCAAGGGCCAACCTTGATTCCGAGGCTGGTGGTAGCCTCAAAAAGTTATCGGTGGATGATGCATATAAGATGATTGAGGAAGTGGCCAAGCACTATGCATATGGAGGTGATCGAAGGCAACCTCAAACAAAGAAGGGAGGAAGTCATGATATTAGTGCAATAGATCTTATTGCATCAAAGTTTGATATGCTAGCTCACAAGCTAGATCAAGCCACCCTCACACCCTCAAGCTCTTCCTCACAAGTCATGTCTTGTGAGACTTGTAGAGGAAATGATCACTTGTCCTCTTATTGCAACTCAACAAATCAAGAGCCAGCGGCGACAATTGGGCAAAGAAATGAGCAATACTCCCAATTCTACAACCAAAGTTGGAAACCCCAACAAAACACGGGATAGAAGCAACACAACCAAGGCCCCCCTCAAAACAACTATAACCAAAACCAAAACCAACCTCAAAACCACTACAACCAACCCCATTCTCAAAATCAACAAGCTCCATACCGCCACCCTAACCAAAGGGATCAAAACCATCAAAGATAACAATATAACCAAACCACTCCTCCTCCTCCACCTCCTCAAAATACTAGCCTTGAATCTGTTCTTGAAACTTTCATGACACAACAAATAAGGAGCAATGCGGATATGAATGCAAACAACCAACAACTTCAAGCGCACAATAAGATAATGGAGAGCTAATTGGCTCAGATTGCACAACAAGTTGGAAGTTCATCCTCCAATCCTAGTGGTCACTTTCCAAGCTTAACGGTAGTGAACCCAAAGGAGCAAGCTAAGGCTATTACTTTGAGGTCGGGAAGAGGTTATGAGGGCCCGGTTATGAGTGAAGAGGAGCCACAAAAGAGAGATGAGATAGTTGTGGTGAGAAGTGAGGATGATTTTGAAAATAAAGTAGTTGAAGTTGAGAGAAAAGAGCAACAAAAGAGTGATGAGGGAGCCACAAAGAAAGATGAGGGAGATAAAGAAGGAATAGAAAAGCCCCCTATGAGAGTATATAAGCCCCCCGTTCCGTTTCCTCATAGAATTGTAGAGAAAAAGTTGAATGAGAAGTTTTCAAAATTTCTTGAAGTCATGAGAGGACTTCAAGTGAACATCCCCTTTCTTCATGCCATGTCACAAATGCCTACCTATGTAAAATTTTTGAAGGATCTTCTATCCAACAAGAGTAGGCTTGAAGAGAGTGCAACCATCTCCCTTCCTAAAGAGGTGAGTGCAATCATTCAAAACAAGCTTCCCCAAAAGCTTGGTGACCCCGCTAGCTATGCAATACCGGTGAAGATTGGAGATTTAGAAGCTATGGATTCTTTATGTGATCTTGGGGAAAGTGTGAGCTTGATGCCCTATTTTATTGCAAAGAACTTGAAAGTTGGAGACTTGAAACCAACAAGAATGTCCTTACAACTAGCCGACCGCACGGTTAGGCTACCTTAGGGGATTCTTGAAGATGTGCCGGTTCAAGTTGGAAGAGTATTTGTGCCATGTGATTTTGTGGTAATGGAGATGGAAGAAGATACAAGAGTACCCCTCATTTTGGGGAGACCATTTTTTAACACCGCGGGAATGGTGATTGATATGAAAGAAGGAAGATTGACTTTGAATGTGGAAGATGAGAAAATTTCATTTTCATTCTCACAAACTTTGAAGAGGCTATTGATTGATGAGGTTCATAGAATTGACACATTGGAGAGAGACTTAGAAGAGTTCCGAGAAAGATTGTATGAAAGAGATCCTTTACAAGCTACCCTAACAGGAAGCTTAGTTGAGGAGGGTGAAGAAGCAAAGGGGTATGATCTCTTACTCAACCAACATTTGATCCACGATGTGATTAAATTTGAAGTGCTTAACGTGGAAGCAAAAGAGGAGAGGACTACGCCTCCTCCAAAGGTTGAACTTAAACCCCTTCCCTCTCTACTTAAATATGCTTTTCTTAATGATAGTGAGAGTTATCCCGTTATTGTTAATGCTAAGCTCGATGACACCTCTCTTGAAAAATTCCTAGTTGTTTTAAGGGAGTATAGAGATGTCATTAGGTACAAAATTGATGACATTAAGGGGATAAGTCCCACCATATGCATGCATAAAATTCTACTTGATGATGATCAACCTTCCTCGATTGAGCACCAAAGAAGGCTCAATCCCAACATGAAGGAAGTGGTGAAAAAAGAAGTTTTAAAACTTCTTGAGGCGGGCATAATCTGAAAGGAATGGTTTCCTTCCAACAAGTGTATTATTATGATAGAGGGTTCAGAATTTTCACAGAGCTAATTCTTCAGTAAGGTCAAGTGATCGGAATGCCTAGGTGGAGGCCGCTTCCGATCAGTAATATTAAGGTACAATTAATATTACAGTTAAGATGACTGAACCCTTTGGGTCGAACACAATCGAACAACCGATCCGAGACGACAAATTAATCCGAAGGATTTAATGAGTCGACAGAGTTTTACGAATACAGACGTCGGATATCGAGCCTAGGGCGTCGAGATCGAGCGTCGCAAAATCACAAGCAACAAGTATGAGCGTAGTCGTAGCTAGGCTAGGCTAGCTCATAGCAAGCCTAGGCGCACGATGTGTGTGCTAGGCGCGCCATGGTGTGCTAGGCGAGGCATGAGTGCCTAGGCGCTATCGCAGCCCTAGCATCATGCCTAGGCGCCATCGCAGCCCTAGCATCATGCCTAGGCACCATCGCAGCCCTATCGCACCAAGCACAGCACCCATGTGTGTGTGCATGTGTGTGGGCACTATTGCAGCACCCTAGCACCACGCACAGCACCATCGCAGTGCTAGGCGCATGCGTGTGTGCGTGTGCACCATCGCCCAGCAGCCTCGCAATGCAGCATCGAGCCTTCGCATAGCTGTGTGCTTGTGTGCGTGCCTTCGCATGGCAGCACCAAGCACAGCAAGCTAGCAATTAGCACCAAGCCCAGCATGCGTGGCTCGCTAGCAGCACGCATGCTAGGCCTTGCGTGCGTGAGTGTGATGGCTGGGCTATGCGTATGCTGGCCTGGCTGTGCTGGCTATGCAAGAGGGTGTGTGCGTGTGCGATGGCGAGAGAGGCAGGGGCAAGCACCAGCGCCAGTAGCTAGCAGCGCCTAGCACTGGCACGCAGCAGCAGCACAAGCATCGCCCAGCGCCAGCACGCATTGCCTGGCTGGGGATGCGAGGCTGCTGGCTTGGCTAACTGGCAGTGCTAGCTGGCGTGCTAGCTGGCAGCAGCCTAGCAGCCCTTGCTTAAGGCGGTTTGTGGTGAGTGGGGACCAAAGGCTTGGAGCATGCCTTGGGGAGCAAGGCAATGGTCCCCCCCCCCAAGGTTCATGGTCCTCACCTAACCCTCTCTCTCCCCTTGACACTTATTGCATTGTGATTGATTTGATTATTAATTTATTTTGGAATTAAATTAATTATCAAAATTATTCATTCTCCCACATTGGTTGGGAAATGAAGTTCAAGGGTTCATTTCCCTATAAATACCAAAGTTTGGGTATTTGGGAAACAACAACCTTGAGTGGAATTAAAAGGCAACTCTTGATTTGAGTAAACCTTGATTCGTAAAACTCATAGTTTTATTTGTCCGGGTCTCGACTAACCTTCGAGACTTAGGACGCTCGGGTCGGGTTCGAGGGTACGATCCCGTTGGAGACCTCGTATTTTCGGGGTTCAAGTAAGAGCTCATTGTTGAGCGAAGCACGCGTCAAAGGTATAATCTTTTATCCTTTCTTGTGTTTAATTATTTTTCGCTTGTTAATTGCATTTATTATGGGGGCGGGACTTGGCGGGTTTCTTTCCGCGTAGTGTGGGTCACTACAAAACCCAACATAATCTACCCTATCTCCGATAGTAAGTGGATTAGCCCGGTTCAAGTTTTACCTAAAAAGGGAGGCATGACCATCATCAAAAATGATAAGGGTGAGACCATTTCTACGAGGTCGGTCACCGGGTGGAGGATGTGTATTTATTATCGAAAATTGAATAAATCCAACCAGAAAGACCACTTCCCACTCCCCTTCATTGATCAAATATTGGAAAGACTAGCATCACATAGTCATTATTGCTTCTTGGATGGATACTCGGGATTCTTTCAAATCCCAATCTAACCCGAGGACCAAGAAAAGACTACATTCACATGTCCTTTTGGCACCTTTGCATATCGAAGGATGTCATTTGGACTTTGTAATGCACCTTCCACATTTCAAAGGTGTATGATGTCTACCTTTTTCGACATGCTTGAATCATCAAATGAGGTATTCATGGATAACTTTTCTGTTTTTGGTTCATCTTTTGACACTTGTCTTTCAAATTTGATTAAAGTGTTAAAAAGATGTCAAGAGGTGAACTTACTTTTGAATTTGGAAAAATGTCATTTCATGGTAGAGGAGGGCATTGTTCTTGGTCATGTGATTTTTAGTAGGGGCATTGAGGTAGATCGTGCCAAGATTGAGGTAATCCCACCCCCTACAAATGTGAAGGGGATAAGGAGCTTTCTCGGACATGCGAATTTTTACCACCGGTTCATAAAGGATTTTTCAAAAATCGCAAAGCCGCTCACTCAATTGTTGGTAAAAGATGCCCCTTTTGTGTTTACTAATGATTGTTTGCTAGCATTTGATAGATTGAAGGAGTCTTTGATTTCGGCTCCTATCATTCAACTCCCTAATTGGGAGCTTCCTTTCGAGCTTATGTGTGATGCTTCGGATTTTGCCGTTGGGTCTGTTCTTGGACAAAGGAAGGACAATAAGCTCCATGCTATCTATTATACTAGAAAAACATTGGATGATGCACAAAGAAATTACACAACCACGGAAAAGGAGTTTCTAGCCATTGTTCATGCAATTGAGAAGTTTAGGTCCTACTTGTTGGGCTCTAAGGTCATAGTCTTCACCGACCATGCGGCCTTGAAGCACCTATTGTCTAAGAAGGAACCTAAGCCAAGATTGATTCGGTGGATTTTGCTCTTGCAAGATTATGATATTGAGATTAGAGACAAAAAAGGTGCCGAAAATGTTGTGGCCGATCATCTTTCACGGTTGCCTATCTTCGTAGGTGATCTTGATAACTTGCCAATTGATGATTCATTTCCGGATGATCAACTATTTGCTATCCTTCAAGCACCGGCACCATGGTTTACGGACATTGCAAACTATTTGTCTTGCTCTATTCTTCCTCCCGACCTCACCTATCAACAAAAAAGAAAGTTTCTTCATGATGTTCGCCAATACTTTTGGGACGACCCCTTGCTCTTTAAACAAGGTGTTGATGGCCTTTTAGAAGGTGTGTCCCGGATGATGAGATTGAAGGTGTTATCACAATGTGTCACTCCTCACCTTGTGGAGGACATATGAGTGCTAACAAAACCTTGGCAAAAATCTTGCAATGTGGTTTCTATTGGCCTACAATGTTCAAAGATGTGTGGGGTGTAGTGAAAGCTTGTGACCGGTGTCAAAGAACCGGCAATATTTCAAGAAGAAGTGAAATGCCCTTGAACAACATTCTTGAGTTAGAGATTTTCGATGTATGGGGCATAGATTTTATGGGTCCTTTCCCGACCTCCTTTGGGAATAAATTCATTCTTGTGGCCGTCGATTACGTGTCAAAGTGGGTAGAAGCGGTTGCATCTCCTACTAATGATGCTAAGGTGGTGGTCAAGCTCTTCAAGAAGGTCATTTTTCCAAGGTTCGGGGTGCCACGTGCCGTCAGTGATGGAGGTTCGCATTTTGCAAAGCGGTCCTTCCAATCTCTCCTTGAGAAGTACGGTGTGAAGCACAAGGTGTCATTAGCTTACCACCCACAAACAAGTGATCAAGCCGAGATTTCAAACCGGGAGATAAAGATGATCTTAGAGAAGATGGTAAATAGGTCTAGAAGGGATTGATCTACGAAGCTAGATGATGCTCTATGGGCCTACCACACCACATTCAAGACTCCCATTAGCACCACACCTTACAAGCTTGTATATGGGCAATCATGCCATTTGCCGGTAGAATTTGAGCATCGTGCTCATTAGGCTATTAAAACATTGAACTTTGACCTTCAAAGTACTAGTGAAAAGAGGTTGCTTGACCTCCATGCCTTGGAAGAGCTAAGATTGGATGCATATGAGAATGCGCGAATCTACAAGGAAAGGACCAAGGCTTGGCATGACAAGCATATCAACAAAAGGGAGTTCAAGGAAGGTGACAAGGTCTTACTATTCAATTCCCGGTTGAAGTTGTTTCCAGGTAAGCTAAAATCAAGATGGAGTGGACCTTTTACCGTCAAGAAGGTGTTTCCATATGGTCCAATTGAAATCTCCAATGACAATGGTGAACCGTTCAAAGTAAATGGCCAAAGGCTAAAGGCATACTTTGACAATTTTGTGAATGAAAAGGCCAAGGTTGTTCACCTTGAGGAGTTCGATGTTCCCCACTAACAATTGATCCCGCAATGTCGTCAAGCTAGTGACGTTAAAGAAGCGCTTCCGGGAGGCAACCCGAGTTCCTCACTCCTCTCATAAACTATTTTTTTCATTTGATTTATTTTTATTATTACTAACCTTTTTCTTAAAAATATCTTTTGTAGGTATTTGTTGAAAAGAGGAGTAATACAAAAAAAATACAAAAGAAAAAAAAAAGATTAAAATCGTGCACCATCAAGTCTCACGACTAGAAACAGGCTGATTTCCAACGGACCATTTCTGACGGACATGTTTTCCGTCGTAAAGTTCCGACGGATTTTTATTCTGTCGGAAATGTACGACGGATGTCCTACGGAATAAAAATCCGTTGAAAATTATGGGCCTTCCAACGGATTATTTTGTCGGAACCGAAATGTTTCGACGGAAATAAAATCCGTCGGAGATTTCCGACGGAATATTCCGTCGAAACAATTATTTTCCGGCGGAAAATAAATCCGTCGAAAATTTCCGACGGAATATTCCGTCGGAAAATAATAAAATAATAAAAAAAACAAACCCTGAAAACCCGGTTACCCCCCTTTATTTCCCATTTAGCACCAGCCTATCACCAAGCAACACCGAGTAACCACCGTCGCGAGGCACTGCACCGCCATTCTCAAGGTTTTTTTTTTTTAGATCTTGTAATTAATTTAGGTATGGCTTTGTAATAGCTATTTATTTATAAAATTTAGAATAAAATTGTATATTAATTTATTTCTTTAAATTTTCGTTTGTTAATTATCGTTTTTGTTAATTTTTTTGTTTGTTAATATGTAGATTTGGTTTTTCGTTTGCTAATTTTCGTATTTTTGGGGCAAATTTTCGGTTTTTTTGGCTTAATTTCGGTTTTTAATGAATATTTGGAATGGTGGTGGTGTGTGGTGGTGGGGTAGGGTGGGCTGTTGTGGTGGGGTGGTGTCGGTGGGCTGTTGTGGTGGCGTCTGGTTTCGGTGGGATTGTGGTGGGTCTGGGTGTGTAGGGGGCAGGGGTGGACTCGGTGGGTGGGGGGGCAGGGGGTAGGGCTGGTGGGTAGGGGGTGGTGTCGGTTTAAGGGGGGTGGGTTCAGGTATGGTGGGTGGGTTTAGGCTAGGGTTGGTGGTGGTGAGGGTGGTGGGTGGGGCTGGTAGGGGTATGGGTGGGTAGGGGGCAGGGGGTGGGATGGTGGTAGGGGTGGTGGCTGGATAGAGTGGTTGGGGTGGTGGTAGGTTTTTTTTTACTTTTTTTTTAATGAAATTTCCGACGGGCAGTCCGTTGGCAGATTTGTATTCCGTCGGAAATTTCCGACAGACTTTCCGGTGACCGGAATTCCTCTTCCGATGACGAAAGTCTGTCGGAAATTCCGTCGGAACTGTGTTTTCCGACGGAATTCCGACGGAAAAGGCCATTTTCCCTATAAAAGGTTTTCCGACAACCCATACTGACGGAAATTCCGTCGAAAACGGCCTTTTCCGACGGAATTTTGCGGTCGAAAATAGCCTGTTTTCTAGTAGTGTCTGCATGGTCGTGTAGAACATCGCACGCCCGTGTAGATGAGAGCAGAAGCAGCCAGAAGATTAAGGATCGATATTGGGATTTGGCACGTCCGTGCAACTAAAGCGGCACGTTTGTGCAGTGGAAGACAGAACCATCAGCTATTTTGGCTGGAGCTGCACGTCCGTGCACACAAAGGCAGAAACAGACAGCAGTTCTGGCTGGAGCTACACGTCCGTGCCGAACCCTGCACGTCCGTGCAGCCCCAGTATAAGGCACAGCTCACATGGTTTATCAGCATAAAAAAATAAAAAATAAAAAATAAAAAAAAATCTCAACTCTCCTCTCAATCTCACGGTTCTCTCTCCTCTCTCTCTCTCTAAACTCCTTCTTCCCCCTCTACCCAATTCCTTCAAACACTCAATTCCTCACCCACATTCAACATTTTTCAACAAATTTACAAAATACTACTCCATTCTCCATATTTAAACCCAAAAAAAAAACACCCAAATTTTCCAAACCCTAACAAAAAATTCAAATTGGGGGTTTTCTTGTGGATTGAAAATCAAAGCAATTGGTTGAAGGAGAAGACTCAAGCAAGCATAAGGAAGGTTAGAAAGGTCCATTTGCGGGTTTTACACCCACGTTAGACTCGGTATAATCGTTCCTTCTATTCACTACTTCCATACTTATAATCTCGATATTTTGTGTTTAACTTTGCTTGAAAAGTTGTTTGAATTGGTAGTGAGTGAATAATTATTGATATATGTTAAGCATTGTTGAAATTGATAGTGCTTTATGAATTTTGTGAGAATTGGATGTTTATAAGTGAGTAGGATTTGGAAGAATTAATTTGGTGAATGAAGAGCATGCTAGCTAGTGTGTTGTTGTTGTGATGAATTGTTGACATGAATGCATAAGTTTTGCAAACCTTGGTGTTGAATTGTTGTGCCTTGAAATAGTGAAGACCATCTTGGCTGTTTTTGTGATTGCTTGGACTTGATCCTAGGTGGTGGACTTAGAGCCTCAACGTGATTCGTGTGGTGTTTGTTGGTGTTGATTGAGCCTTGAATTGTTGTCTAGGCGGACCTAGAGCTTTTGTGTGTTTGGTGTGGTGATTTGAATTTTTGTGGCGTATTTAATTGCTTTGCACAAGAACCAACCATGTCAAGAAGAAACCGCCTAAGAAACACCTCATCCGCTAGACTTAGGAACCCATCGCCTCCTCCTCCCGTTGCTCCACCACAAGTGGATACAATGGGTTTAATTTTCAATGACCCGGCCTTTTCGGCCAACTTCCTTAGAAATAGTAGGAGGCAAATTAGGCCCACTAAGTTTTACGATGACGAGGTAGCCGATGCCCTAGGGGTAGGTGACGATGTTAGGATGTTGTTTGAGGGTGCCAACTTAGGTTCTTGGCTACAATTGCATGCCCAAACCTATAGGAGACTAACCCTTGAATTCCTCTCCACCCTTTATGTGCGCAAATTCCAAGTCTTAGGTGTCGAAGGAGCATCTCGCAGCTAAACACCTCGGACTGACACCACGAGGACCCCCCGCTACATAACTTTCCAACTCATGAACACCCAACATAAAATGACTATAGCTAGAGTAAACCAAGCTTTTAGGTGGCCCACAACCAAAACTATCGGACCTAAGGATAGACAACCCCGTGGTTATAATGCGTGAGATTTTTGAAGAAGAATCTCGAGGGCTTTTGAGTACAATCCTAGATCCGATAAGGCCACCGCCATTATCCACCCTGCATTCAGACTCTCTCAGCGCACTATAGCAAACATGACGTTTGCTAGGGGGGATAGCTCGGGGGTGGTGTCCACAAGGGAGCTCTACTTTCTTTGGCACTTGAGTGAAGGTATCACTAGCTTGGATGTTGGGTCTTAGTTTGTAGACCACCTTGAGGATGTTGCCACAGGATCCGGCAACATCACCATAGGTGGCATGATTACTATTATTGTTGTTGCTCTTAACCTTGATTTTTCAGATGAAGAGATTGTCCCAAGGCCAACACAGTTGGACATGCAGTCATTGAGGGCCATGAAGTGGCTCATGGATGTAGAGGGGAACCACCCCTACTTGTGGTTGGTGAGTAGGCGGCCCTATGCCTATCTCCATGACCCGGAGGCCACCGCCATATATGACCAAGGCAACTGGATTTTTGAGAGGGACTTCCCTTATGCTACCGGTGAAGAGGGAGAAGAGCAAGGACAAGAGCAGCAACATCAACAACAACAACAACAACAACATCAACAACAACATCATCAACATCATCATCAACAACATCAACAATTTCAGCAACAACAATTTGATCAACAACACGGGTTCCAACAAGGGTACTAAGAGGGGTACCAAGATCAAGTCATGGATGAAAACAACCTATACCTCACTTTTGAGCAGCCAATCGCCAACATGAATGCGAATTTTGCCCGCATGACCACCGAATTTGAGACCATGAGGAAGTCAAACGAATACATGAGGACTTCATTCGACGGAATGAGAACAAGTTTTGAGGGTCTTAGATTGGAGTTGGGCGATTTCCGCAATGTGTACCGGCATCTCTACCCCGGGGGCTCAAGCACCCAAGGGGGCCCGAACCAATGAGTTAGTTTCTTCCTCCCCTTCTCTTTGTGCATGCATTGCTTTAACATTGGGGACAATGTTTATGATAGCTTGGGGGGGGGGGGGAGTGTTTTCTCATGTGTCATTGGTTCATGTTGTGTTCTTGTGTTTGCATGTTGAGTTTGCATGCTAATTATTCCCTTTCCCTAAACATCCAAATCCCTTTAATCCAAATTTGCTCCCTTGGAAATCCAATACCCTAAATCCAAATCTCTTATCTTATGAATACCTCTCTTATCTCCTTATTTAGATGTATAGTTGTTTTTATTTTTATGCTTAGCTTAGCCTGATGCTGTAAATTTTTTTCTTGCTCTCTACAAAAAAAATAAAAAATAAATAAAATAAAAATAAAAAATTGATTGAAAAATGAAAAAATTGCCCAAGGATGAAACTCAAATGACGATGCTTATATGTTTTGCTTGCTTGACTTTTGAGTGATGAGTAAAAGTTCTTTTAGAAGAGTGTGTGCAAGAGTTGGGTCATTTAGATCTATTAATCTTGATTGCATTAATGTATATGAAATGAAAGCCGATGAATGCTCAATTGCACGTCTAGCAGAGGATATTGTCAAATTTGCCCAAAGTAGGATATGTTTGAATCAAATTGCGGTCCCTTGTGCCCTTAATGTGCCTCATCTCCTCCCCGAAATGAAACTCTATTAGGGAATTAGCTCTACTTGTATCATGTGTAATAAGTGGCATAATAAGCCACACGTTTCGAATAAAGAAAGAGCCGCTCATAGTTAAAAGAGGCGAGGGCAATTAATGTTGGAAAAAAAAACATAGAAAAGAAGGGAGGACAAAAACTCCCCTAAAATTCTCAAATTTTGATTTTCTCTTCTTTAGAGGTCAACTTGTGGATGCCTCCCA